TACATTAGCATAATTTAATAAGTGATACAAAGTGATGTCATCTTTGGTTCTACAGATTTTAACATACAAATAAACAATATCCATAAATGATTGACTATTAAGAATTTAGAAGGAAATGTTTTGTTTAGGTTTCCTGAGAATAATGGTCACCCTAAAGGTCAACATAAACATAAATACATTAAGGTACACCCTATACTAAGCTATATTGCTGCAAGGCCAAAAAAATGTGAGAACAAAATTTGGTTTATTAAAAGAACTAGGGTAATAATGTCTTTGCTGTTAGAAGGAAGCTAACTGCTTCCTTCTGTCATGCATATCCAAACAAGAACTTCAGAAAACTGAGGAATTTTAGGAGTTGGGCCTAAGATTAATTGACCTCTTTTTTTGAGTTCAGAGACAATATAGGGCATTTAATAAATTATCTTCTAAAAAACAACAAAAAAAGGTGCACTTCTTATACTCATTGTTCCTCTCTGCCTCCACAAGGGTTGTGTGGCTTTTCTTGTAAGATCTGTTCACTTTCTGCTAACTTTCCCAGCACATCAAAAGTTACCGTCCTGTTAAAAGATACATCATCTCTCGGTAGAGAATTGCTGTTTCCCTTTCCTGTTCTCATGTACTCCCTCTTGTACATGATGTAATGCAGGGAACACCCAAATTCAGAACTTGTAAAATCTTTGTGTTAAATGTATGTGGAATATAACAAAGAACCAGTAGGATCAGTGTATAATAATTGGATCATGAATCTTACACTATAAATAAGGTTACTTGATAGCCAAAGCAAACTGGAGAATTACAATCATAGATGTTGTGTGGAGGTGGCAATGGATGAAATGAATTGGAAACTGTCTCTATCATTCCTCTTTCTGAAAACAGGGAGTTTTATTTACAGTATCTACTGCAAACTGACTCTGAAAGAAAAACTGTCTGGAAGGATCCAGGATGGGATCAGATGAGATTTAGCCAATGAATTCCTTGTTTCTTGAAACAAGAATTTGAAACTGCTTTTGTCCTGATCCTCTCTACTTCAAAAGTCATAGTCCCCAAATGCAGCTACTGACTGAACTTCAGTTCGGCATGCAGTTCCTGCAATTAATATCTCTGTAGAAAGTGGGAGGAGTGATAGACAAGGTAGCAGACAGCACCACCATAGATGCTTTCTGGAATCTTCCTTTAAAGTACAACTGTCCTGGGGACTATCATCATTCTATATAATTGCCATCAAATCAATAACAAGAACAAATAAAAACCCCAGATCTTATTCTTTAATGTATTTTTTCTATTAAAAAAGAGGCACCTACTCCCCACCCCCAAGTAACAACAAAACTAAACAAGAAAATCCAACAATAACAAAAATGTACAAAGTGTTTTCTAAAGCCAACCTCATATGGAAAATAGCACTTCTCACTTCCTAGGATGTTAAGTTAAATAGCTGGAACCACAGGTAGTTTTAAATCACATTAGGTAGTGGCAGAGCTGTAAATATGGTACAGGACATTCGGAAATTTTGTTCATAGTTGCAAATCATTGATGCCTCTACATTACTGACTTTGAAGATCACTGGAAGAATTATATGATGTGAACCTGGAATGCAGGTGCTCTGAAAACTGCACCAAACTTCACATTTTTTTTCAGCTAATATTTTTTGAGGGGCATTGTTCTATTGTATTGTACTTCTAAGTTATATCAGATTTGCTCTAAAATACATACAAAAATGTTGGAAAATCTCTTTGGAGTACTATACACTGAATTGACTGTACTACAGTGCCAAAGATAAACTAAATCTCAAGATACATCACCTTCCTGGGGTTAAGTGGGTAGAGAACGGTGCATTATTAATTTGAGCATGGGCCAGCAGAGTTTTTAAAAGTTTAGTAAAACTAAGTTTTAAGAAAAGATTCAAAGAAGTTTTGCTTTTCCAGAGCCTTAACCTTGGAATAACAAAGGTCCTCGCTAATCACTTTACTAATCCATACGGTAGCAGTTTTCTTACCAAGGTATCATTCAAACAAAAAAAAAATGGCCTCTGTTCAGCATTTCCCTCCAGGTCACCAGCCACTGTAGTGTAATCCATGAGGAGATTTATGGACCTCAGAGTGGGACTCCTTACAGAACAATGTGGTGTTAATCAGCAAGACACCAAGGGAGCAAATGGGAAATGCTGAAGCTACAGATTTTTTTTTTTTTTTTTTTCCCTGGGATGTGAAAGCCTTACTCAGTGCATCTTCAAGGATTTACACTTCTGGCCTCTCCCCTGAAGGTCTCTTTTCTTTCTAAAGACTGCTAGTTAGTTGTTCAGGATAGGGGTGGATCTGAATACAAGGTGAAAGGTAGACTGTGCAACCCTGCAGCATGAGACTGCTGTAGTGTGCTCAGCTTCATGCCCATGAGGCAGTGCTATGTTAATCTCAGCAAGTTGAGACAAAGAAGCCTTCCTTTCTCTGCCTAAAGAGATCTACTTGTGTTTCTCTAACCCTCAGAAAACTGTTCTGCCTGATAAACTGCTGGGTGTGCTGGTGTCATCTGCTTTTCTCTCATCCTGCATATCTTTAAGTGTGCCATAAAAGGTAGAATAGCCTTTATGGGGAGAATGTAAGAGTATCGACCACCACAGAAAGATGAGTGCCCTGCCAGGATGTGGCATGTGGAGAAAATTGCATCACTTAAGGCAATCACAAAGGTAGTGAATCTTTGTAACCTGTAACTTCAGTTCTTGAGTAATGTGATGCTCAGCATCCAGTCTAGACTGTAGGATTTTGGCTGTGTAGGGAAACCCACATAGTACTTCTGTGGTACATTGGAGACTTTTGCACATTGAAGTATATCTTAGAGAAAATCAAACACAAGCCAGACAGATTCTTACTTGCACAAGCCACTGCTTCTCTGTAGGGAAGATGGATACTTCCTCCAGTCAAGTTTGAAAGAGCACTGAGGGCCCTAGTGGCCAGATTTGTCAGATTAACAGAGGTATGGTTTGTTCAATAACCCACAGCCATTAGGGCAGAGGAATATGCAGTTCTGTGGAAATCGGAAGGCCTGAATGTGAGATACATTTTACCTTGACCTGCTCACAGTCTCAGCATTGACTATTCCTGAGTGTGCAGAAAAATAGGTTTTTAAATGCTTGAGGAACTCCACTAAAGAAATCTCTGGCTTGTTTAGGTATCTCTGGAGTTAGGAAGTAGGAGTATGAGGATAAGCTGCATTTTTAAAGACTGTAGCTAATCTTAGACACCTTGGTTCTGTTTTTCTGAACCAGTCCAAAGCTCCAGATTCCATTTCTGTCTTAAAAGAGAGAGGGAGAGTACTTTAATTGCATAAATATGAGATACCCAAACAGTGTAAGAGAAATAATGTGTAAGAAATATACATCTTTTTATCCAGCTGAAAAATTCAAAACTGATCAAGAATACTTCCCTGTTGAAATAGGAAAAGGTTTTGCAGCTGTACTAAGGTATGCCTGAGACAGCAATTTTCTGCATGCATTCTGGAAGTGATTGCTATCCTAGTGATACTCCTAATTGAGAGAAAAAAAAATGTTAGTGGGGGAAATTGTGATGATTATGACGGTGAAGTTACCTCCAAATCCAACACTGACATGGAGTTAGGACAAGTACAAAGTAGATATGAGATACAAAGAATCCAAACACTTTTAATATTGTCCTCTGCTATGTACAAATGTTAATCCACTTTTAACAAGCAAGAAGGTACTTTAAATTCTACTGATGTTCTTTTCACTCATATTGTGTCAAATATATCATATGTGTGTGGAACTTTAGGTGATGTGCAGATCAATTATAGTGCTGATACAAGTTTGAGAAGAACGTTAAGAAGTGTTTGAGTCTGTGTTCTGTAAAAGGAAGGTGAAACTCGGTGGATATGAAAGAGCTGGAAAACCTATGACATATTGTTCTGTAAGTTAAAATAGCTTGAGTGATAAGGAAAAAATTTTCTTTCTGCAAATTGATCTTACCATTCTAATGGAAGATATGTTTTGACCTACTAAGGTATATTTTTTATGTGCCTGCTACAAGTAGTCCCAGGGAAACTGCACCTGGCTCTCAATGCTGTGTAATTCAGGCAATGCCAGGAAACCTTGGTATTTCTCATACTCTGCATTTTTTTGAAATTAGATAATGGAAAGCAAGATATGGAAGTGAAGAAGTGAAGTTACTGGCCCATCAGATATCAGTGAGCAATTTATCATTTTGTAGATTCACGGAATATGCTGAATTGGAAGGAGCCCATCCAAATCAGTGAGTCTAACTCCTGGCCCTGCACAGAACCATTCCCAAGAGTCACACCATGTGCCTGAGAGCATTGTCTAAATGCTTCTTGATCTCAGACAGGCTTGGTGCTGTGACCACTTCTCTGGGGAGTCTGTTCCTGTGCTTACCAACCCTCTGGGTGAAAAGTTTTTTCCTGATATCAAGCCTAAACATCCTCCAACTCTTCTTCAGGCCTTTTCCTTGAGTCCTGTCACTGGTCAGAAGAGCAAAAAGAAGAGTACTTGCTCCTCTGCTTCCCCTCATGAGGAATATTTGACATGAGTTACAGCTCAACATAGTAAATACTGAGAAAATCTGTAAACACACAGGAGCAAACACACACTGACATTAAGTTTATAATGACATTTCTTTGAAGTCTCACCCTTCAGTAGGGTAATAAGCTGAAACAAACAACATAGTTAAACTCAGATAGGAATGAAGTGCCAGTTATGATCATATCTATACATGTGTGTGGCTATATAATACTCTGGCACGATAAGGTTGTAAGGAAATGAAATTGTTTGCAGGGAAGAATGAAATTTTCTTGCTTAAAGAGCAAACTGACAGGTTCTAATGGTCCCTCACATGCTGTGCATGGTAAACATTCAGCTTATCTTTCCAAGAGCAATGAAATTTCATGTTCTACTGCTCAACGTAAGAATTATTTTTACATATCTCCATACCACTGAACCTCTTGTAAGTTAATCTCATCTCTCATCAATTTTTCACCAGCTTCACTCTGATGTTGATAAAGGAGATGGTTCCATCAAATACATCTTGTCAGGCGAAGGGGCAAGTTCCATTTTCATTATTGATGAGAACACGGGGGATATTCATGCTACAAAGAGGCTGGATCGAGAAGAGCAGGCCTACTACACACTCCGAGCACAAGCACTAGATAGGCTGACTAATAAACCTGTGGAACCAGAATCTGAGTTCGTCATTAAGATTCAGGACATCAATGACAATGAACCAAAATTTCTGGATGGCCCCTACACTGCCGGAGTTCCTGAGATGTCTCCTGTGGGTAAGTGCAAAATACACTGTTGGTGTTGTGGGAAATTTGTTCCTATTGCCTTTTTAAAAGTTTCATTATTTTTTACTGTATCGCACTCAGCTACTTAATTATCTATGAGGCACCTGCAACAGTTAGATATTTCAAGACTTAACTGGAAATAACATGCTAGATTAAGTATTTACCCTTTCAAAAATGTTGTGAAACTCAAATTGCTATGTAAGGATTCAGATAACCGTTTTATGGTGTCTTTCTCATTCCAGTGCCCTGAGGCTTTGTTTTATAATTCCCATTAACAGTAATATGTTTCACACCTATGTTATGGTACTCAGAGGTGATAATATATAATTTTGTTCCGATAAGGTCTGTTCATAAGAAACTCTTCAAATTCCTGCTAGTGCATAGCATGACTTTTTTGGTAAGTGTTGCATATATCAGTAATAGCTTAGTGGATATTTTTTTCTAATACTAAAATCCCATTTTCTGGGAAATATATGCAAGCAGCAGGTACTGGGGTACAACTTGAGATAGTTTCAAAGTTCCAGTGGAATCAGAGAAGAATGGGTTTTAGAGGCTTCCATCTCTCTGTTGGAAAATGAGAAATGCTGATTTTTCCTGAGTTTGAATTAGGGAAGAATTTCAACATCAAATCCACTATCTCTTCATTTCAAAGAGACCAAATTCTCATGGGTTGTCAGGTGCCACTGTTCCTTTGAAAGCTGACTCTTTCAAACCAGATTAAGGCTTAGCCTAGAGATGTTTTGGTAAATTGTACCTTAACATGAAATTATAAATGCAAGCATGAAGGGAAAAAAAAAAAAAAGCAGAACTTAATCCTAAAATTCACTGGAAGTACGTACATGGGAAGGCTCACTTTAGCTTAAGGGAGTTATATGGTTATTGAACTGAAGATTTTCTTTGCTTGACTGATTTTAAACCACGTTAAAATTTGATACTTTTACAGTAAGATTGCGCATATAAATTTTGCTGTAGTTTCCTCAATATGATCTCCTGTGTTTTTGAACGTTAAACAGTGCACCTAAATTGGAGCTAGAGAGAGAAAAAGAATATTCCCTACCTCAGCGCCCTGCAGCAACTGGTAGTCAACATTGTTTCTGTATTTGAAACTCATCTTAGGAGTCAATGGGAGATAAGTAAAACACTGCTGATGGGTTTCCTATATAGTTATTCCACTAAGCAGTGAGCATTGACACTATTTCGCATTGACACTTGGTATTTGTTCACTGTCACTCGAACATTGTGTGGATGGCTGATGAGGCAATAGCAGCCTTGGAAGAAAGATTGACATAGACACCACAGCTTCTATGTAGGAACAGGAAGTACATGAAGTCATCATAATTTGCTGAGAACTTTTTATTTCGAAGCTTTGAAAAAACAGAGATAATCAGACAATCTAAGACTGTAAAACCTAAATAGTCAGCATTTCAAAAATATGTTATGTTAAAATATATATTTGGTTTTCTTTGATGAAGTTGCTGTTTTATTTTAGAATTAAATTATGTAAGTAAGATGTTGCATGCAGCAGTTGTTAACTTTTTTTTTTCATTTTTGTCTTATGCCCTGAAAAACAATTATCTCCATATTTCTCTTTTGCATGAGCTACCTCTGTCTTTTCTTGCACTGGCATACTGATTTAGGGACAACTATTACAAATATATGAGATTTACCTACACATACATACAAATCCATGCCTCTACGCCTGCCCATGTTCCATTTGTTCCAAAAATTTATTGGAAATCAATCTGTGAGGAGTGCACTGTGTGCAGTGGAAAACATAAGGACTATTTTTCAAAATGAGCTACTTTTGCATATTTTTTTTGAATCTTTACCTTATAAATGAATAAAAATAATTATCTCCCATATGGACCATGCAACACCAAATATATTTCCAAATTAGCTGAAATGTTCTGCAAAATTATGAACTCTGACTTGTGCCCTCTGTGAGATTTGTGTCAACTAAGAGCGCTTTCATGTTCATTACCTTCCTGAAACTGCACATTTTAAACATCTTCAGGGTTAGTATCACACAACTGCTGAATATTGCATTGTTACAGCATTAAGGATTACCATGAAATGCTTTTGTCGCACTTGTCTTACATAGTTACAGCAATTCATAGTTTATTCATATAACATAATTTTTAATTAATCACCTAGAGCATTCATTAAATATTAAGGAGATACAAAGTATCTCTTTTCTATTTTGTTTAAAATTATATCCATGACAAGGATTTTTATTTGGATATTAAAGGAAATGAAAGAGATCACAGGATTATAAACCCAAATTAACTATAAGGCTAGGAAAACTATAACCTTTAACCTACAGGCTGGTTATGCAAGTATAATGATTCTGTATTTTATTTGACAAATATTTTAGGACATTATCTAAGGCTAATTGAAGTCAATCTTTTCTGTTATTTGAAATGACTTCGGGTCGGGTTCAAATTATATTTGGGTCAGGCCCAATTATATTGATTATCCTGGATAGGGTAAATATCTTGATGGCTTGTAAACCTATTCATAGTAAAAACCCTACAGATATGGCTTATCTGAAAATCATAAGACTTTTTTTTTTTTTTTTGAACTATGTCTCTTACTTAAAAAATACAGCAGTATTAGATTTTAAACAAAAAGATTGCAAATTATAGTTAAAGGAGTGTTTCTGGGATGTTCACCCGAAAAATAGCTGATGTGAGATACTGGTCTGTTTGACTTATAGCCAATGAAAGTGGAGATGAAAATTCTAATACACAACATAGTTTTGGTTTTTTAATATTTTCTTCTCTCCATCCGTATCATCAGCTTTTCTTGTTACCCAGCACAATAAATATGTCTCTCGCCATGTTTACTATCCCTGATTGAGATGGGTAGAAACATTTGAATTTTATAACAAAGAAACAGAAAAGAAAGCAAAAACGTTGTACCATGCTTAAGCCTTTGATACAAGTGTGTAGTGCGTTTGGAGACCTTGCTGCTTGTCTGGAACCAGACTTGATCCTTGTCACAGAGTGAAGGCAACATACAAGGCTCTGGGAGGGAAGGGAGAAGGTGAAGAGGATTCTGTCTCCCTCCCTTCACACTCCTTGAGGGGAAATGCAATGGAGGTGTTGCTGCATCAGCTATGGGTGAGGGCCAGTGGCAGAAGCACAGAAATATCAGATGGTACTGAGCAGAGCCAGACTGGGTTGTTGTATGTAAGGATTAAGCAGGACTTATGGATAGATTTATAGTAAAGGTGTTTAATGTTCCTAGTAGCAGCTGATACCATGTAGAAGTTTGATGCTATTGGTTTGTGTTATATATATTACAGATCATCAATTGATATCAGTTATTACCTTTAATAACTGACTTACTTGAAAGGTCCATTTTTAATCTGTTAATGTGGCTAAAATTCAATCGATAAGGATTTATACTGTTTCAAAATTATGGATCTGTTAAGATGATCTAGTTTTAGAAACCAATTTTTCAAAAAATGATCTTGCCAATGTTAAAATAGAAATCACACTAGCATTTCTCATAAAAAATCATTTTCAAGTTTGATAAAATACACATAAGTTACTAGCAAGCTTTCTGAAAAGCTCTGCAAAGGTTTCTAAAACAATACATTCAGAGATTCAAAAATCTCTTTGAAGAATCTCCAACTCAAAATGAAATTCTGCAGCAAGTTTAGCTTTATCGGATACTATCCCTGGAAAGGTTGATTTCTGCACCGCGTCAGGAATATTTCTTAGCCTGGACTTGGGTAAATTGAAGTACAAATAACATTCTAAGTTCAAGGTTCTCTCTGCAAATATCCTCCCTTCCTTTTGCCCTAATATCAGAATAAATAGGTCACATTCTGAGATTACTGTGATTTTGTAATATCTACCAATATCTATTAGAGGGTAGGTTAAAAATTGTTTTAACATTCTGGAAAATAAAATCAGAAATCTGTGCCAGCCACGTGGAATTCAGTGTGTTACTAGCTAGCATCAAAAAAAAGAAATATGAGAAACACTTCTAAGCAGTACAGATTTTTCCTCAGTATTTGCTACAGTTGCTGAAAAAGTTTATGAAGTTGCTACATGTAGAAGTCTTTTCAATGAACTGATATTCAAGTTTGTATACTTGAATATCAAATATACAAACATACTTGTAGAGAAAAAGGATTTGTAGAGGAATTCATATCTAAGAGGGAAATACACTTTTTAAATAAATAACCTTTATTTATTTTTTCAACCCATGTCAGATACACAAACTGTAAGTAATATTTAAAGTTCTAGTTGTGAAGCTGCAATTTATAATAAGTCACTAATGAGCACATGGGGTAGCATGAGTGTCCTGTCTACACTTGCAATCCAGGGCTCTGAACAATGCTGACATAAATAAGATTTACTGACATATTGGTTTTGTTAGATGTAGTGTTGACATTTGTTGACTGCCCCATGTTACTTGTGATCCTAATCTTGGATGCCTAAATGTCTGTGTTAAAAGGTAAGGCAAATTTTTCAGGAATAAAAGAAGGACAATTTCAGTGCAGGAGAACAAACTCTTCTAAGATGGTATAGATGGAACTATGATTCAACCACCCATTTTTCCTGCAAACTATAGGTTTAATTACTATCCATGAGTAACCCTACAGCTTTCTGGGTCATTTTTTTCAAAGGAAAGTAAATATTTGAATTTGACTTCAATCTATTGCAGAAAGATTAGGACAACTGTGTATTGCAATGATCAGTCTCTGAAAGAATTCCTGTTCTTCAAGAGCAGTCTGCTTTCTTTGGAAAAATCTCTTGAAATCTTCACACACAGATCTTTCTGTGCATTGTGTTTCTTTGGAACTGATTTGCTACACATAAGACTTTTCACATATTTAGAATACCTTCTGTTATCATGCATATTCTTTTTAAAATATATTGTGCAAAAATCTTCCTCTCAGCATGGGACTCTCAGCCTCTTGGAAGCTCGAATTTTATGGTGTGCAATTTGTGAAGAAATAATGACAACAGCAGTTATTTTGTTCCTTGGTTTTTTTTAAGATCTTTCGCCCATTGAGGCTTAAGAGAAGTTGAATAGCACAAAGGGACTAGAAAAATGTCATTGTTTTTTAGTTACTGATTATACTCAAATGGAAATATCTCAGAAAGACTTGGTGTTAGACTTTCTACTTAAAAACCACCCTTTTCTAAAAGATCCATGTGTTTTAGAAGAGAGACAATTAGATTCAGATAATGGCTTTATTCATCTCGTGGAATGTAGAGGGTTTGTTTGCTACATCAATATATTTTTACAGCAAACAAGCACTTCTAAGCTTACAGCATTTCCAAAATGTCTGTGCTAAGATTGCAGAGCTTGTAATTTCTTTGATCTTGTATTGGTCTGGAGTCCTTGAAAGCAGCAAGAGCAGAGAGCAAAGATGTAACTTGTGTGAGGTTTATAAGCACTTTTGCCAATATTTGCAGACGTTGTAAGCTTCATTGGCAGGGCTTAGGGACTCTGTAAATGTGGTAAGCCTGGCTTTCACAAAGAACACAGGATGTCAAATAGTCATTATGATACCCTTGTTCTCAAAACCTGGAGAGACTCTGGCAAGTTTAAAATAGGTCCCTGTATGAAATTACATTATAAAGTAATCTGTAAAATCAGTTTGACACACTGAATCAAAGTTCTTAGTTACTGGTGAACAGAAAATTGATGTATTTTAAGTTCCATAACTGATAAATTACTTGATGGATTAACTACCAATTTTCTTTTTAAACTTTCCATATACTTAATAGTTGTGTGTGAAATTTCAGGTTCAGAATAATCTTTTTCCTGTCCAAAAATATCAGACAGGCCACAAGAGAGAAAAATGGCATTTAAATAGAATTACAATCATACCACTTTGTCACGGATACTTCAGGAATAGAGATCAGGAATGCAGGTTAGCTGGGCCATAACCCAACTGAATAAAGTTATCTTATGAATGATCATTTCTGGTCAGAATTCTTTCAAGTGGGTCCCATCCTGTTCCATTTTATGGAGGGCTGCACTTAATCCTCTCTCCAAACCTTCAGCCTAGTCCCAGGATCCATTTATGATGCTCTACTTAACTGAGAACTGAAAAGCTGAGGAAAATGAATGGGGGATATACTGTATCAGGTAGAAAGAATTTCAGTTTCTCCTGCCATTTCCTGAAAAAATCTAAATAAAATTTATCAGAATACAACTTAGGTTAAATTCACCCTGGATACTTGCTATTGCAGTTTGTTCTTAAAAAGTGATTTCAAGACTTATTACTCATTTTCAAGTCAAAAATGTGTTCATTCAGAAAATGAACACTAACAAATGCTTCTCTCTAATCTTGTGTCTAAATCCAGTCTATGAAGCAATCTGATCCTCTCTTGAAGACCTTTACTGAGCATCTGCCAAATCGCTACAATATTAATTTGCAATCTAACCTCCAAATAGGTCCCTGGGCTGTTGAATGGAAGGTCTGAATATTCCAGACAATCTGTCAGTGAGAAAAAAATAATCCTTTCTGGCTACCAAAGGGTGGTGACCATGGCCAAGGCCCTGGCTCCCAGGTGTTGTTTTCTTCTGCTCTCAGCATATATCATGGAAGATAGAGCAAAACAAATGGGAACTGACGTGGAGAACGTAATGAATAGGAGCTGGATGCAGAATGAGATTCTCACAAAATATACCCTACTTGCTAGCCAGTTATACATTTTGCTTTCTTATTCCTGTCAACATAGAGACATTTCTTGTTCAAGGAATCTTTATGCACTAGATTATTATCACAACTGATACTAAAATATTGCATATTATTGAAGGAAATTAGTACTTTCTAAAGGACTTTTTACCAGTTTGTCTCTGAGCTGAAACATAAACTCTTCATACATCTCTTTATGAAACAGTAAATAATTTTGTAGGCTGACATTAATTTTGTGTACAATCATCAAAATGTATAAAACATATATATGTAAGTATGTTTGAATTTCTAATGACTCATTACAATCTCAGCATGCAGAATTTTCTTAAAAGGGAAACTATTACTATATTTCATACTCAAAAAGATTTCAGGCATCACCATCATTACAGAAATATTGCTCCCATAAATTCCCTCAACCAAAACCAGAGATATAGATGGGGGGAGCTACTGAGTGAGCTGGGCTTTTATTGCTGTGAGTCAAAGGCTGAGACTATTTGGGAAGATGGAACTCTGTAATAGCTGATACTACTAGTTTACAAAGAGAACTTTATATACTAAGCTGAGTCAGCATGGAAATGATGAACAGTTGTGAAAAAGGCACCTCACACTGTTCCAGATATATATTGGAACAGCATATTGAATAACTGAGGTTTTTATTTTTTGATCTTTCATGTACAATGGTCCTTTAAACATTTTACAGGTACCTCTGTGGTTCAAGTGACAGCCACTGATGCAGATGATCCTACTTACGGCAACAGTGCTCGAGTCGTTTATAGCATATTGCAAGGACAGCCTTACTTCTCTGTGGAGCCAAAAACAGGTAACTTTCCGTAAACTCTTTGTAGAAATGCTTAGAAAAAAGAAAATATGCATTAAAACTTGCTAGGAACTTACTAATATGACCTCTTGGTTAATTGAATTCATTTGGATTTTGTTGATATTTTAATCTCTTATTCTTTAGAATAGATTATGAAAACCATAAGTCTGAGCTATGTAATAAACAGACATTGCTGGAATGGAATTTCTTATCTTGTCAATCTTCCAGCTGCCTGGTCTGTTACCTGTTGCCATCTCTCTGATCAATGAAAATTTCAAGGTACTATGAACTGCGGTGACCAGTGACAGGACCTGAGGGAATGGCCTGAAGTTGTCTCAGGGGAGATTTAGGTTGGATATTTTAAAGAGGTTCTTCACCTAGAGGGTGGTTGGGCACTGAAACAGGCTACCCAGGGAAGTGGTCACAGCACCAAGCCTGACAGAGTTCAAGAAGCATTTGGACAATACTCTCAGGCACATGGTGTGACTCTTGGGGATGGTCCTGTGCCGGGCTAAGTGTTGGACTCAACGATCCTTGTGGATACCTTCCAACTCAGCATATTCTGTGATTCTGTGAACAATTTTTTTGCAGGTCTTTATCTTAGAAATATCTAAATGTCACATAGCCAGATTTCCATAAGAATAGATTTACAGCACGATTATCTCTCCATTCTACTTTTTAAACTCAAGTTTTGTCATGGGAAATGAATCCATATATTAATTTGAAAGAGGAAACACTGTGCTTCCTGTCCTTATCTGGTACAACATTTTGCTGCTACTTTCAAAACATATTACTGGTGAAATTTTGTTTTTACAATTTTCATGAAATTTTATGAATATTTTTAAGTCATGACAAGATTCACTCTTTAATCCTTTGTTGGTTTAGTAAACATTGCCCATTCTGCTGTATCATTTCATAAAGCAGGAAAATGGGTTCTCACTCTGCTTAATTCAATTTAGTGTCTGAGCCTTCATTTACACCAACAAGGAGAAAAATTAAAATCTTCACTTTGAAAATAGCCAAGCTGAAACAAAAGATAAAAAAAAATATTTACCCTTTTTATTATAAACAATCTTGGATGTGAATATGACCTGAATAGCAAAGCCACACTCAATTTAGCAACATCTAAATTTGCAGAAATAAGTACTATAATTATCTTCATATTGACAAGTCCATGCTCAGCAGGTATACATAGCACTGTCATTTTCCCTCCAATGGGTATGATTTATAGTGGGTTTCTCTCTGTTTCTCTCTCTCCCTCAATGTATATATATGTGTACATTGTACGTTGCCACAATGAGTGCAGACAGCCCTTGAACAATAATATGTTAGTTTCTGCTAAACCAAAATCTCGGTGAATTCAGACTTAAATGTTTGCGTACATTTTCTCTTTGATGTGATACTCCAATTTCCTTTGTTCTTGACAGTTATCTGGGTAACGGTGCCTAGTAATTTAACTATGATAGAAAAATAAGCAGGCCAGGAAAAGCAATGTAGAAACAATAACACTATGAAATTGTGTATTAATTGTATTTTAACATGTCTTGTAAAATGGGTGAAATAGTGCCAGACAGTTCTGTTTGTGACATAAATGTTTCCATGCAGAGGTGATTAATGACAAGTCCTGCATGCATAAAGGAAGAAAGAAATAAAACTCTAACTAAACATTCAACAAATAGCAGATGAAGAGATATGTGTCCCAATGTGCCTTTTCTTTATTTAGTTTGTTTATGTTTCCTTCACTGCTGACACTAAGTGCTGGTGGAGTAAAAGGCTGCCTCTCTGGAAATCGGAGTTAGCAGCTGTACTGTGTACTGAGCATGAAATATTCATAAAAACATCATATTTTGAGAGGGCATATTTATTTTTTGCTCTATATCAGCATAACTGAAAAGATGAAACATGGAATTTTCTTCCAGTTTTCATTTCAATTCAATTAATTACAAATCGTATGCAGATCATCAAATGGATATAACAAAAACTACTTCGAGTATCACAGCATTTCCATTAATAAATAAAAAAACCCTTAATTATGTTAATTATTTAGAAGTGGGTATTGTTAAATCAGAAATATGGAAAAAAAAGATAATTTCATATATCTGCAAGCTGTGGCATGATATCAGTATTAGCAAGAGTTAATGGGGTAAATGGCTATTCAAAACATCATTAAATTAATCTTTACCTTGGAATGTTAAAAATTAATGCAGAATATTCTGTTCTTCGTAGCTCTAAAAGAGTAGGAAATCAAATACAGGAAAGGATATCTTCCAAGGAAGGGAGTGTTACCCAACACATTATGAAGTCTAGTTCAGGGAGAAGTTACTTGGAAAACACAGCTATGCACAGCATTGCAGAGTGAATCTAGTACTAAATAAAAACTGGTGGGTTTTGGTGACTGCTTAAAATAAGCTTGCATTATGTCAGTTCAACTCCTAGTCAAACCTTGTGATATTAGTGTTGAAATTAATTCATTCCTCTCTTGTTGCTATCGTTGATATACTGTTAACTTCTAAAGACAAACTCAGCTTTCACAGTAGCATATTTGCTTGTGCAACCATTGACTGACACCTTCTCTTACTGCAGGTGTTATCAAGACTGCCCTTCCAAATATGGATAGAGAAGCCAAGGACCAGTACCTGTTGGTTATTCAAGCAAAGGACATGGTTGGGCAGAATGGTGGATTGTCAGGGACCACATCTGTAACTGTCACCCTGACTGATGTTAATGACAACCCACCCCGCTTTCCACGCAGTAAGTTGCTTTGTAAATACATGACTTGTAATATTATTCCTAAACACTGTTATTTTCTTTACACACTTGCTATTTCTAAACAAAAAGTGCTTAGTTTCCACGTTAAGTACTTTGAGAATCACTGACCACAAGTTATAATAATTATTATTAAGATTATTACGTCATTTTTCTTTCCCTAATATGTGTCAGATCAGTTGAAAAGAAATGGTGTACAGCAGGGCCATTCCTCTCTATGAAAAAGAAGACCAAAAATAAATATCTTAATATATATTTAGCTCTTGCCAGTTAGACTTCGAGATTCTTTAACTTGCCTCTTAATCCTTCATATTCCTTTGGCATTTTAACAGGATTTCTCATGTGCTTCCAGTGTTTCCTAAAGAGTTAATCAGAAAAGAGCTGGAAAGTCACTTTCTCTCCATTTGCTTCCTTTGACCAAGGTGTCTCTCCTCCTAACCAAAGAAAGGAACACATAGTTGTATGCTCAAACTCGAAGAGCTCAGTTTATTCACAGCATTCTGTCTAGTGTGCTTTTTTTTTTTAAATAAAAAAAAAATTACTTCTTAAAGTAGAATTAAAATATTGTGAAGAATATATGCGCGTCAACTTGAGCCTTACCTCCAATAATGAAAAGAATAGATCTGTATGTAATAGATTTCCTGCATTTCAAGCCACCAACTGCTTGAAATAATAAGAGAATAACTGGAGTTATTTCTGAAGGTGAGTGTGTTATTTGCTACAGGTTGCACTCAGATACTCTTCTGCTAGCGTATATATAATTTGGTACTTGAATAAAGAAGCTGCAATTTTCAAGATGATGCACTTACTGTTAAAGAAATGAATATATATCAGTTTCTAGTGATGTTCAGATCGCAAACTGCCTAATCAAGATACACAGGTACAAAATAATAAGATTTTACATAGGTATTAGTTTATTTTCCTCTTCTCTGGAAAACAAAGTAAAACATTCTCTGCATTACCATTTTTGCATCTTTATCTTATACTTCTCTTGTCACATGAAGAAATTTTGCCCATAGTACTTAAGGGAGAGTCTGTCACAAAGAGAACCTAGCAAAAAGGGCAATTCTATTTCAAAATTGAAGAATACATTCTTGTAGCCTGAATAAATATTCAGACACATAATTTAAAGGAAAGTAAATTTAAGAAAGCTGGATTTTTGATTTTTGTCTTCAGCCCCAGAAGACTCTGAATTCACTAAATTTTTAAATTTCACAGGATCATACCAATATAATGTCCCAGAGTCTTTGCCAGTGGCTTCCGTGGTGGCCAGAATAAAAGCTGCAGATGCAGATGTGGGACCTAATGCTGAAATGGAGTATAAAATTGTGGATGGTGATGGTTTGGGAGTATTCAAAATTTCTGTTGACAAAGACACTCAAGAGGGAATCATAACAATTCAGAAGGTGAGTCTGACTTTATCCACCAGTTCTATTTGGATCTCTGCAAGATGAGGGCAGGTCATGAAAGTATGGGTTTTTCTTTCTAAGAGTCTTGTTTGCTGCAGAGGTTTTTTCCCATTGGTACATTTCATCTTGGCTTCACTATGTGATTTTGAGGGTTTTAATGAGTTACAGTGAAAAATATTGTGCTTTTGTTTTGTAAGAGCTGTATTGTTTTGGTGAGGATTTTTTTAAAGCGCCTCTATTTGGATGGGAATATAAACTTTAGTCTTATTTGTCTTTGTATTAAAGAGAAAATACAAAAGTATATTTCACAGTGAAAATTCAGGCTCCAAATAAGAAATGGATCCCAAAATTAATTTAAAAACTAATTATCTAAGTGTCTTTGGCTGATGTGGTTCTATTCAGAAAGCACAATTTCCTAACTTTTAAATTATGTAACAGTAAAAATAGTTGTTTTACAGGATCATATGTCATTAAAAATATTACTTTTTAAAATATGAAAAATTTAAGTAAATATTTTTCTTCATTTTTTTTCATATGTTCTTTTCTCTATGTGTACAGTTAGAAAACAAACCTTTTAAAATTGAAAAATCATGTTTATATAAAAATATTAAACCAGCTTACTTACCTTCCTTCAACACATTTTAGACTACCCTCTAAAAAAAATAAAAATATGTTGAAATATTTTTTAAGAAAATTTAATTTTTGCAAACAGGAAAAAAAATGCAACACCATAGAAGAATCCCTTAAATAATTTCCTACTCTGAATGTATGAGTGCTTGGCAATGACAGTACTGAATCTATGGACAAACTCTAGTAGAGTAATTTTGTTAAGGAAACTTCCCTGTCTTACCATCCAGGAGCCACTCAGGCCATCACATTTGCATTACCTGTGCTGGCACCAAAGCCCTTTCACAGCTACACACCCCACACTCATTAAGTCAGATCAGGTTTCCTTACCAGCTTGACCCCAGTTTTCCTGTAGCAGAGTGTCAGATGTCCAGATCCTTAAAATAATTTAATTTTGGTGCAATAACAGTAATAAAATAGCAGCTTGAGCTGGTGCCTCCGAGGAGGGACTGGGAGCAAAGGCACTTCCAGCCTTTTATAGCCTCACAGTCTAAGCCAAGTAAAGTCTGGGGTTCTCGGCTCCTGCCATGTCTCTGAGTCCCTGTGATCTTTGTTCTGCAAAGGGTCAGCACTTCATGGACTCTTGCATGGGGCTTCCGCCACCCAGAGCTAAATCTGTAGCTCCCACTGCAACCCAGCTACCTGTACTGAATGTATTCCTCAGCAATTTAATACCCCTAAAATGTGGGAATCACTTGGCATTTTAGAATATATGTAACTATGTTCCTAAAAAGGGACTTATGTTTGTACTTGATATGATGCTGTAATGGATTTTTCTTCCCTATATGCTCTTTAATTTTTGTAAACTTCACCTATTAGTTGTGGGGGTTTTTTGTCTTGGTTTTTTGTTTTTTTTTTTCCCCCTTCTCTGGTGCATCAGTTCCTTTCTAAAGCAAATAAAACTTCAGTAACATATCTCCTTTGAAAGAAGCTAAAACTTCATGATGTTACAAAGCAATGGGCTAATTCTCTGATGCCTTTAATAGCTGTTGAAAACTAGTCAACATCCACACATGTCACAACAAATGGAGTACGTTGAGCACCCTTGAAAGATCAGGGTCTAATATGCGTAATGTGAATCATCTTTTTTTTTTAGGCAAAAACACCCATCTTAGGCTTCTTGCAAGCTGTACTAAATTCTGTATTTCAAACTTGTATGTTTGAAATAGAAGCCTCTTTATTCAACAGGCAAATTCAATGTGGCGTCTTCAGTTTGCTCATTTAAGATTTTTGAGCAAAGATTTGAGAGAAATTCATCTATACTAGAGGGAGAACATTTACCAGTGCCACAGTGACCAACACTGAATCAGTCAGGGTTGTCAGTGATCTAATTTGAAAACTGGTGAGTTCACTTTAATTTCTAGTATACTTTTATAGTCATGGTGCTCTTTCCTGGAATATCCTGATTGCAGTGCTGTACATTGAACCAAATAATTACCATTAATTATTTCTATAATCACTTTAGCTAGGGAGCTGAACTGGACTTTTCAGTACTGAACATTTGTTCTAAGAAATGCTCTGTGAAATAGCTATTGGACTACATTAAAAAGGTTACAGATTGTTGACCTGATGAAATGGTCCAATTTGTTAATAATTTTTAAACCTAGATGCTGCTATATTTTGACATAAGAATTGAGATTTCTTTTTTCTACATCATTAGAACTTTTCTGTTTGCCTGCTTCAACTTGCCTGCTATTATTAATTCACTTTACTCTGTGCAGTGGATTGACCTTGGTTTGGTGCTAGGTACCCACCCAGCAAGCTTATCACACCCCACTTCAGGACGGGCGGGGGTAGAAAATAAGGTGGGAAAAACAGTGTGGGTCGAGATAAGGGCAGTTTACAAAAGCAAAAGTGAAGGTCACATGCGCATCAAACAAGGGAAAAAAGCCAGAAGATCGTATTCCTTACAGTGATGTCCAGCCACTTACTGGGAAGTAGGGCTTCAGTTCATATATCAGTTACTTCAGAAGACAATGTTGTAAATAATGAATGCCCCTCCCCTCACCCCTCTCCTCCTTTCCCTTAGCTTCTATATCTGAGCAACAGCCTGTGGCATGGAATATCCCTTTGGTCAGTTTGAATGAGCTGTCCTGACTGTGTCTCCTCCCATGATCTTGCCCATACCCAGCCTACTGGTGTGTGTGGAGAATGTTGGAGAGACAGTGCTGAAGCTGTGCCAGCACTGCTTGGCAGCAATCAAAAAACTGGTGTGTTGTCAACACCTTCCCAGCTACCAATACAAAGTGCAGCACTGTGGGAGGCTGGTGTGTGGAAAATTAACTGCACTGCCTCCAGACTCAGTACACTCTGCCATACCAAAAGCAAGTCCCCATGCTGAGGGACACCTTCCAAACCTTTGGATGTCCTTAGCTCTTCATTTTGACTCCAGAGAACTTAGTGTTTTACCTAGGGCTGAAGGACCCTGTCTGCCAACCCCACAGAAAATATTGTCTAGGAGAGAAATAAGTGAAGAGCTCTAGCGCAGTGGCTACTGGGCAACTGCACTTCATTATTCTCTGGAGAACAAATACTTAGAAGACCATTAATAACAGTTTATGGAGGTTAAATGGGCTTCGACCACCGAGTCTTACCTGCCAGGTCACTATGGAGGGTTATCCCTGCATGGTAATGTGTGCTTGTTGGTAGGAAATCAGGGAAGAAGTTAAGTCTGTAGCCTGAAATCTGCCTAAACATTTTAATGTCCGGCACATGATGTTCTGTAGTCCTCTGAGTGCAATTACCTCTCTCCTTTTCATGCCCTTAAATCAGCTGAGATATTGAGAAACAGCTCAGCCTCAAAATGCATGCCCATCCTTTTCAACTTATATTTATATGCTCAGATGACATGTCTTTGTACACATCAAACAGTAAAATGCCAAGGCAAAGACTTCTGAAAAGGCACGCTTTGGTTCTAAATGCAAATGGATGCGCTTGCTTTGCATACTTCTGCTGCAATTGTACATAAAGCTCAGCAGGCTGGGCATGAAAATCACCAGCAGTAACTGAGCAGCTGAAAGCACTGCTCCATTCATTTTTATGCTGGGTGTTGTGGATAAAGTTTGGCACCTGGTTATCCGAGTTCCACACAAACTGAGGATTTTTCATTCTGCTTTTAGAAGTATAGCCACTTTTGAAAAGTTGCCTTCCTCACTAAAAACTAACACTTCTTTTAACACATAAGTAGCATTAAATAAAAAGAAAAGAGTTTTTGTAAGAAAGAAAAAAAACCTGTGAGAAGTGATATTTAAGAATTCACTGAGCAAAGCAGGATTTTTATGCTCCAAGTGGATGGAATATGAAAGAAAATGTCCAAGGATGAGCAAAAAGTGTAGGAATATTATTTGTTTTTAAACAGAGAGATACCAGGTTTCATGACATTAGAAAGATAAAAATGTTACATGATTAAATATATCTCAAGATTACTTGTGTAAATGGTCTTATACCTGTATTGGTTTGAAAGGTGACAAAACTGGTGAATAAAGTGTGTGTTTCATTTTTGGATTAGTTTGGATTATTTTCCATGTATATTTCCATGTATGTATATATTTCCATGTATATGTACATTTCCATGCATGTATAAACGCATTTTATCTCTGTACCCCATGAAACAGAGACTTCAAAACATCGAAAACCAGCAGTAAAAAAAAAAAAAAAAAGGTGGTTTTACTCTAACAGTGATATTCGTAGAAATATATGGAGTGTATTTTTCCCTTATTTTTATCTCTTCTGCATTGCTAAATCCAGATACTTTTTTGACTTGCACAGTCTATTGAAAATGGGTTTTTCTCAACACTTTGAGAAAAGTGTTGCTTTCTGAATACTACTGGTAGTTCTGCTCATAGTTTTTATAGCCATGGAAGGACTGGGGATTCCAAGTTCCTGAACATGCTACTACTACTGTTACCTAGTGTCAGTATATATTAGCTACTGGTCTAAACCTCAGTCAAGGGAGGAATGCTTTGTCTGTGTGCTTTTCCCCTTGATATTTATCCTTCTAAGGAGTAAAGAGTAGGATTACACTATTTTATGCAGCACAACTAAGAAGCATGTGTGCTATATCACTGTACAGTGTTTGCTGCTATATTGTTTTTCACATACTTATCACACCTTACTTCCTTTTGTCCTGGTTAGGATTTTTGAATCCGGATAAAATGAGTGAGATGTGAAATTCACATATTCCAGGAAGTTACTTAAGTTCACTCTAAACTAAACAAAACAACAGTAAAACTCCCAAACAAACAAACCCTCACAACTTTTTCAAAATATTTGGGACAAGGGCTAATTTTTTTTTGGTGAATTTATGGCTTATATAATAACAGCAGGTTATGTCTGGGTAGAATTGTTATTTTCTGAGATCAGCGAAGCTA